CATTTTTCTCAACACTTTTACCCATCTTATCTCTTACGAAATTCTTTTGCATTCTCAAATATTCGAACTCAAAACCTCTACCATATGAGTAACTTGTCCAATTAATACATGATTCGAATCATGGAAGAAACAAAAGAAATCCGTGAAAGAAAGGTAAGATGTGCATTGTCTCCCCTAAAATGGATAGTACGTATAAGTTAATAGTTTGGGCATATAGGTGTGGATCGCTACAATAAATGTGCATTTTTTGTAACGACTTAAACTTCTATGCTCAAAAATCATTAGTTCATATGTACTATCCATTTTAAGAGAGCACGTACCTATCTTATTTCTCACAAAATTCTTTCTCATATCCTAGAATTCAAAGTTTAGAAGTCTTACAAGAAATTGAAATTGAATCCCGATATCAATTAAGATTGTTGTAACACTTCAAATCTAGATACCTTAGGCTTAAGATTATTATCATTTAAATGTCTCCTAAATCATAAATTAGAAAAAGTGATCATATTTTTTTAACATAATAAAGACTAATGACTTCATTTAAGAAAATAATTTGTAGAGAAATTTTATATTTAACACAAGATAATTAATTAAAGGTTAACTTTATTTCAAAACAAAGTCAACATTTAATTGTGTTAGTACTAAGCCTGTCTCACCATAAACAATTGTCATGCCCCAGATGGCATTGTTTGTCGTGTACATCGAATGGTAGCTTCGCTACCAAGTTAGCATGGCAATGCGTACGTACGGGACGCCATATTGGGATTCGTATCGGTTACCGTGGAGCTCCATTTTGTCAGTTATTGTTTCATTTTCTACTTGAGACTATGACAGGACCTCATTCCAATAGATGTGATTATTCAGAAGAGAATTGGATGCCAGTTGGCCTCTCGTTGCCAGTGTTGTTTCTAAGCTAAGATTATCAGTCACATCTTCACTGGCAGTTGTATCTTCGATTAGGTATGACAGGATTTTAGAGATTTTTTTCAGATACTTATAAGTTCAGAAGAGGGGGTCAGATGGAAGTTCTAGAGATGACGGTATTCTGGGTATTCTAGACAGTATGTTCACTGTGGACACATTCATACTATTATTCCTCTACTAATATTTTGGTTTCTATAAATCGAGAGGAATGATGCGAAGTATAGGGGATTCGCATGGTGACCAGACGTATCATTTGAAGGGTTTATCGTATGATCCATTTTCTTCATATGGGGAGATTGTTGCCGTGCATTGGCGAGGGGATTTGACACTTGCACCTATTGGTGGTATTTCTTTGAACCTCCCTTCCTCATCTCCTCTCGTCTTAATTTGGTGGTGCACTCTATCAGTCGGATTTGTCATGATCAATATTGATGAATAAGTCGTGGATGGTTTTGTGAATGAGGGAGGCATCATCAGAGATCACCAAGATACTGTATTAGGGCTTTTTCAACTTCGTACGGATCGTGTATGATATTAGAGGCATAGCTCATGGCTATTCTTGATAGGATTTTACTAGATAGAGGACTCGATCTTTCAGACATTTGGATTGAGTCAGATTCTGTAGTGGCTATTCACTGCATCATTAGAGGAGGAGGACCGTAGGATATTCAGGGCATACTCAGACAGATCACAGACATCGTATCATTCGGCAGAGACACAGTTTCCTACATCTACAGAGAAAGGAATTAGGTTGCAGACACTCTTGCTGCAGAGGATTGGGATTATCGGCGATATCAGATATATGGAGCAGCTGACCTATCACGACGCACCAAGGCACTCTTACAGATTAATAGACATGGATTGCCGAACATTATAGTATGATTATTTATTTTTATTTTTGTCTTTATTTGCATTAGTTCTTATTATAAAGTAAATAGTACTTTCTTTTTTATAGCTTTATATTTTTCCTTTATCATTTATTTTTATTATAAAGGAAGTAGTACTTCCTCATTTTTTGCTTTCGTTATTTTTTCATGTAACCATGATATTCATCCGCCACAAGTGATGTCATATTAATAAAATTTTGGAGGTACCGTCCTCCTTTATTTAAAAATAATAATTGTCTCGAATTACTTTCATCTTCTGAAAAGTGGGAAGGATAACATGGAATGAGCTAATGTCATCCATTCATGTGATGCACGTTTATGCCATGTGTTTATTTACACAAATTTCCTTTTTGTATCAATTTTCAGTTGGTATCAAGATTAAATTTATATCTCTCATAAAGCAAAATTTTTGGAAACTACGGCCCTCCATACTTTAAGTTTTTGTATGATTTTGATCATTTTTTATTCAAAACATTGTAACTTTTAAAAGCGTCCATAATGGTCCACGAACCTCCATAGTCACTCATTATCAGTGCTTCTCAAATTTTAAAAGTATGCAAATCAATCTCGAAACTTTTCATAAGTTGGATTTCACTCTCGAAACTTTGTGAATTTTCTCCAATTGCTCTCTCAATACATCTAATCGATCCCGTGCAATTCGATTATTCTTCAATTGCTCGAACCAATTCCAATTAAGCTTAAAATCTTCATTTTTGCTCCAAGTACCTCCAAGTTTGTGTTTCACCTACGAAGACGCTGTTTACACCAAGTTAAGTAGTAACTTGGTTAATTTGCAAATATATATGGATAAGCTTATAAAATACACTTATCAAACACCCTAAATTTAAAAACATTACTCGTTCCAACCAAAATTATTTACTCAAACAAACAAAAACTAAAAATTAATTCATTAGATAGCTTGCCATATTTTAAAACTGCTCAAATAATTTATAAAAGGCTTCTGTATTATGATAACACAATCAAATTTTATTTATTCAATGTTTGATCAATGCGTATTTGCATAGTCAATCCAATTGCCATAAGTATTTATGTTTGCTATATCCCAACCCTCAATAGTCAATTATTCCTTTTCTAATGAGATGTACACCTTCAAATTGATATTCAATATCTTATCCGAGGTATTATTCTAAGGTTGCTTTCACAACACTCTTATTCATTTTCCGGTTAATGTTGGTTGAATCTACACAATGGAAGTAATTATCTAGATCTGCGATGATTCTCCATAAATTTGAGTTTCCGAACCTTCAAGTTTCTACTAAGCAAGTCAATCCCACTAAACATCTAGACCCTCAGATTAAGTGTCCAAAGCTTAGATAGGAAGTGCAATGTTTTTCTTTTTTGCGACTGTTTATATCCCTACCTTGGGTAGGTAACAATGCTCAAACACGGATATTTTATTTCTACCAGGCCAGGCTACTTCTTACTACAATTTTATATCTTTCTTCAAGAACTAGTGCAATGCATTTTATTGGGAAGAATAGTTGGGTTCAGACACCTAGCGTATGGTCAATATCTAGATTCCAAACTAAAAAAAAATACTCCAACAAATAGTCAACAAGTACGAAAGCAAACGCCAAGCTCAACTGGCATTGGGAATTGAAACATGACCGTCACACAATAAAATGGATAAAACTTCATACTTAGGTCTTGTTTGGAAGAAATTTTAATCAAGATTTTAATCAAAATTCTAGCCGTTAACTATCAAATCAGCCACCATTTTTGACTTTCCCTCTCATAGGTGGGGTCCACAAGTTGACTATAACGACTATAATTTTGATTAAAATCCCACAAAAATTGCTCCCAAACACGCTCTTAATATATACTAACCAAACTAATCTCAAATGAAAAGTTTCACAAGAATCGAGGATGATATCTTTGCAATTTCATACACTTTTTATCTATGTTATATTATCGAGTTACTCTTTAACTGCAGGTATGGTGAAATAATATGCCCATGTTTGGTTGAGATAAAACAAAATAAAAATAAAATAAAATAAAATAAAATAAATAAATAAATTAGATTTCTAATAAATTTTAGTAAATGTTAATAAAATATGTGATTGAAATTTTTTTTAAAAAAAAATAGGGAGGTTATTACCTATTTATACACTTGTAAAAAAGTTTTGTCATCCACATATATTTTAGCGTACTAAACACATTATACAGTATGTAAATCATAAAATTTCTTTAGTTTGACTTACTCCTCTTATAAAAGAGTTAAATGTTTGAATGCCCATTGAATTTTGCATGATGTCATGGTTTACTTACCAAACTTTTCAAAATGTCCCATTAGTCACTGAATTTTGCTTCGTCTCTGTCCATTATTCACTTAGTGGAAGCCATTTCGTTTAATGCCGACGTGGAGAACGAAAATATGACTTGGCCAATTAACCCCTTCCAACTCAGCGCCATTTCATCAATTCAAAACACGACACTTCATCTCCTCTACCTCCACCTCCATAACCACCACAACCTGTCCCACCAGCACCAGCACTAACACTACCACTAGAATCACCAACTCTTCCTCTTCCTCGGCCACCACCTCATGCTCTATGTTCACCTCTTGAACCCAAACCAACCCTGCCCTATGATCTCCTCCTGCAACAGTAGATCCTCCACCAACACCTCCATCACCTCCACTGCCCAAACCGTAGCCCTAACCCACTAATCCATTTCATTGACATCGCGATTATCTCTGTGAATTGAAAACCCCTTCAATTTGGGGCAAAATCTGAAATCTTGAGTTATTTATTGTCAAAAATGCAGTATATAACTAGTTTTTATTTCTATCCCGAAGTTTTTAATTTAGGAATTGGGATCTAACTAATATGGTAATATCTGGCTCAGATTCATGAGATACTGAATATTGTGAATTGGGATCTTACTAATGGAGGACATAATGTCGCCGCCAGCATGACAACAACAAACACTATACCCTGGGTTTCTCATGAAGAAGAAGATCAAGATCAGAAAGCGCCCATAAGTGTTTCAAATGAATCTGAGCTCATCTTTGAAAATAAGTTTTCCAGTTTTAATGAAAGGTCCTTAATTAAAGACAGTGAATTTAGATGGTTCATAGATTTTTACCCTACTTCTTGCACCATGCTAGAGAGCCCCATTTTAACAGAAGACTAAATATTACTAAGTTCGATGTCTATGATTTTCACAATGCTAGAGGAAGATGAGTCACTTTTTGTTGATCTTGATGAATTAACGGAGTGTTCAACAGTGTTCCGTCGAGAGATGGTGCACACGCTGCCCAGTCTTGAATTGTCTGGAGGGATCATATGGCAGGGTATGGTGCATGAGGTGGTGAAGGAGGCGGTGCTGGTTTCGATTCAAGAGGTGAACATGGAGCAGAAGGTGGTGGTGGCGAAGGAGGAAGAAGAGGTGGAGGTNACATCTATCGTCTTCTTCCCTTCTAATGTCGCTCACCTTGCAACTCAAAAATTTCAGACGTTTTCTTCATTTCATTTTCTTCCCGGCGGACGGTGAGTCGACAACTAAAGGCTGAAGCTCCCGGCGGATCCAGCACGGGCGACCGCGTGGGCTGGCCAGGTGCTGGGTCCGCCCCTGAGCCTGTCAGACGTTCAACTCTCTTATGTAGTGTTCCAAAATGAAATGAAATGAGCTTTTATGACCCGAATCTCAATTGATGTGATTTGTTATATCAGTTTTCAATTCATAAGCTCAGAAGAAAGAACTCCCAGTGGCCAATACCTTTTCATATCATTATTTGGTATATTAAACTGATCAAAACTCGTAAATTAATTTTTTTCCTTAATTATATTTTGACTTGAGAAAGTGAGATTGCAGCTTCCAAAAAAAAAAAAAAGACATTGAGCTGATCAAATGAGCATATGCTGACATGGATACAGTGGCGGAAGCAAACATTTTGAGTTAGGGGTCACAACCAATGATGGCATAAAATATTTTCAAACAAAAGTGATGCAAATTTGGCGTCATGTGACACCTTGAACGGCCTAGAGTTTTGAACATATCATTGATACTGGAAACATTGATGTCGTTTTTCATTTTTCTCATGCAGTAACCATTATTCTTGATTTAGTTCATTTTTAGTTGTACTTGAGTTCTTGCTTTTGAAAGAAATGATCAGTATACCTTGATTGGAAGATGCCTGAACATTTCGCATTTCTAGCCTCGACTATTCTTGAAGTGCTCAAAGGATAATAAAATCTATAACCATTGAAGTTCACCGAATAACTTACGAAATATCCACCAATTGTCCTTTGGTCCAATTTCTTTGTGATAACAACAACAAAAATGTCTATCAGACAACCCCATTACATCTGAAATGAATAATGACGACAAATTGATGAACCAAGGTGTTGCTCGGAATTAAGAAATAAAGATGAAAATTACTAGAATATCAAACTACTACGTGTAAAAATTCTACAGCAAAGAGCTATCAACTACTTTATCAAAGTCAAGCTTTGAAACTTTATTTCAAATAACACCTCTACATAACCCGGCGAGATCCAATTTCATAAAAATTGTATAATTGTATAACTTTTCGCTCACAAAGATAGAGTAATGCTCAACTAGGCTGCTTGGCAGAGCAACTTACATGTTTACAAACATTGATGATTAAAAACTTTTATGTACTTCTGTAGATAATTGGACAAATAGTAAAAGGACAACCAAATAAAGTAAAAACTGCAAAAACACATAATTTCGTTTATATACAAGTATACAACTAGAAATTATATCAATCTTCACAATAAGTTGTTGGGAGGCAAAAAAGGAACTAAACCTCAAAAAAAAATTCAAGAAATATCCCCTTCTAAGATGGAAGTTTTTCCTTCCTCGTTCAATCAATTTTAAGTGGGAGAAATTGTTAAATTACCTCGGGTCCTTCGGTATTGGCTATTCGGCTTCAAATTTGAGAGGAAGTGAGAGAATTGAGATGGTGAGGGCATGGGCGGACACAGGGAATTGACTAGGGGGGTCACGCGACCCCCCAACTTTGCTCTTTTTTTTCACCATTAAATTTTCTATATTTTTGTTTCAATTTTCGAAGTCATTATGGAATGTGAAATAAAATCGAAATATTGCATTTTTGATACCATTTCAAAGTGCTCACGGTCTAGTTTTTTAAGTCGTTAATGACGTACGAAACGATCAATTGTAGCAAATGTTACGACTTGTCAAAGTAGCCCATTCAAAATTAATATTTCAAAAATTTCGATAACATCATAACTTTAAAAATTCTCCAACGATCATACGCTAATCGAATCTACAAATTGCTTATGTCATCTAAAAATTTATTTCGAAAACTACATTACATGCATATCGAATAGTCCAAATATATATCAAAAATAGTTAAAGCGTTAAACATGAGTCTTAATGAAAAACGTCTAACTCGCATTTTCATTAACAAAAAAATCAATTATTTCATTAACATTTATTACATTTGCGATACAAATTTCTCAATATAATTTTCATCATTTTATTAGAAAATTTTATATAGAATATGACATTAAAATTTCTCAAAATTTTACATCCGAAAAAGTCATGCCCCATGTAAATTTTCGAATGCAAAATTACTTGAGATATGATTTTTTTGGACGTAAATTTTCTATTGTAAAATTTCTCATAACTTCTTTGAAAGTTCGATTGTGTCCCCCTAACTTTAAACTTCTGCGTCCGTTTTTGGATGAGTGAGATAGTGAGCAAGAACTTCGACGACAAGAGAGGCTAGAGATGAAGACAAGGAATTGTCCAACTGAGTTACGGAGGAAGATGAACAACCTTTTTGTGGAAATTGAAAAAAATCCCTCAAACCGGCAAACCCTTACGTCACGCCTAATTTTGCAATTGGATTCTAATTCGCTGAATGGTGGGGGTTTGTAAAGGTTTAGTTCCCTTTTTGGGTCAAATTTTGGGATGGGGCCTAGGCCATCACACATAACAAATTAACAAATTGTTTTGTAATGGTAAACTTATAATCTTTTAAAAGTTAAAACTAAATTAAGCAAGGAGGGCGGGGCCATTCCCGGATACCCGATTAAACGGATAATTCCCACCCCATTCTGGACGGGACCCCACGAGTATGGGGTTCAATAAGTTTTTTGCCATCCCTACCCTAAGCTAGCTTTGAAAACCTCATTGAAAGATATAGGTGATGCAGCAATTGTTGCTACAGCTGTCATTGCAGTGCTAACCAACATTGCCTTAGCCATGGAGGTTTTACTCGGTAGAGATGATGGATCTCTTGCTTTCATTATTGGCAAGTGGCGGACTTCTGAGGTCTAAGAAATATGAGAAGAAGGGTCTTGTGCGCACAGTTTAGAAGAAAGAAAAGTAGGGATTTAATTATATGGTTTTTAATATATAAAAAACCAATATTTTTCTTAGTTGGGGGTCAGACCACCCCCGGTCTGCCCTTGCATGGAGACACATACCAAGTACAGTATTACACTGGAACAGGATCTATTGGCCCGAGATTAAGTGGGGGAGTGGGCCTATCTCCATTTAAATTTAAATTATAATTTGAATACAATAGACAATAGTTGTTCAAATTACTAATTATTTATTTCTTAATTAATAGTGAATATATAATTTTAATGTTAATAAAAGATAAATCTTCTTTCCTTACCTGTCATTTCCTTCTAGGAACAGACACCCCTTTATTAATGTCAAAAGCCTCCCCCACTTCCCTTCTCGAAATCAACTTGCCAACGTCGTACTGCTCGTTGAATAACCTTATTTTATTCACGAGTAATGTTATGGACATGTTTGATCTAATTTTTGTAAAGCCAGATATTGCTTTTGATTTCATTTGGATAATTTTCTCAAAAATTGTCTAATTAAAAGAGATTTTAGACAAAATTAAAAATTATCCAAACAGATCCTATGAATCACGTGTCATCATCTGTCTAGTTAGCACAATCAGACCTACTGATTCATTGCTTAAATGTATCACAATCTAGAACAATGAATCACTTCATTTCCCCACACATGCCCACTTGATTCTTAACCTACCCCCCTCCCACCCCTTCTCAAATCTCTAACAATTAACCCCCACCTGATTTCCCTCAACCCTCCTAAATCTCAAACTAGTAACACCTCCCAACCCCATCCCCAACCCCAACCCCAACAATTTGCATAAATACATACCCCAACAAGTTTGCTATAAACTTGCATACACATTCTTGATTTCTCAAGAGTGATTGAAAGAGAAGGATTTGAGTATCAATGGGGGGTCCAAGCCCACCATACTATACGCCACTGTCTAAACCCACGGCCAACGCCACCACTTCTTGGAGAAAACCCAAAATCTAAAGTAAACGATAACATTGTTAGGAATGCTCTCTGTCCTATCTTTATGGTGTTTGGCAGAACAGCGCTGGCGCCACCACCTCCGGCCTCAGTACAGCCACCTCTTGTGTTTTTTCCAAAAATATCACCACTATAAAAACACAGTACTCATCATCATCAAAAGCATCATCCTCCACCGGTACACAACTAGACTTCGCCAGCCACAATTCCGCCGACGACGGCGGAGCCACCACCTTTTCTGAAGAAACCGTCAAGAAATACCCACCATGTGATATCAAGTACAGTGAGTACACACCATGTGAGGACCCCAAAAGGTCGCTGAAATTTGACAGGGACAGGTTAATATACAGAGAAAGGCACTGCCCGGAGAAGAATGAACTTCTCAAGTGCCGTGTGCCGGCGCCCCACGGGTACAAAACCCCGTTCAAGTGGCCGCTCAGCCGGGATCTAGCGTGGTACGCTAATGTACCACACAAGGAGTTGACAGTGGAGAAGGCGGTTCAAAATTGGATTAGATATGAAGGTCACCGCTTCAGATTCCCCGGCGGGGGAACCATGTTCCCTAATGGTGCTGATGCATATATTGATGATATTGACAAGTTAATTAATCTTAAAGACGGATCCATTAGAACTGCTCTTGACACTGGTTGCGGGGTAAGCCAAAAAAAAAAAAAAAAGTATTATTACCCCCATTAATTCTTGTTAATTACAAAGATTATATAATAATATTTTGGAAGGGTAAGTAAATGGTAGGACAAGAATCAAGTGATCAATAATGTAAATTGAATATTTTGTTAGATTTACATATATTTGGGACTGAATTGTCTGAATTATGACAAAAAAGATATGGATAGGTAAATAATTAGTGGGGTCCCCAGCGGGGGGATGTGCACCACCTTTTTCTTGACCAAAACTCATGCACGAAGTCTCGTAGGTACATGACACCCCATGCACGTTGTCTTTTTGGTTAATTATCTTGAAATTATTTATGTCCAATTTTCCATTTTTAGTTATGTAAGTGTATATTACTTTTTAAACTCTATTTTGTTATGTTGGCTACTTCTCTGCTTTGTTTAAGTAAAAAAAAGACTGGTATTTTTGAATGATGTGCAAGATTTGAGTTTTCATTGATATGGACATTATCTTTACATAAGTTCTTGCAATTGTAATTATGCAGGTTGCAAGCTGGGGAGCTTACCTTTTGTCACGAAATATCCTTGCAATGTCATTTGCACCAAGAGACACACATGAAGCTCAGGTGCAATTTGCTTTGGAAAGGGGGGTTCCTGCTTTGATTGGTGTTATTGCCTCAAAGAGGCTCCCATATCCATCCCGAGCATTCGATATGGCTCATTGTTCTCGTTGTCTCATTCCGTGGGGTCAATATGGTAATTTAAGCTCTACGAGTTTGTCTGTAGTTATTCATTTTTTCTAGTCACATTTGTTGATCTAAGTTATGGGGGCAAAACTACTCTTGCATGTTTTATACGCGGCCTTAAACAAGATACTATAGCATAATAAACGGGATTTTTGCTTCTTTTCTATATTAGTACTATCTAATACTACCCAAGTATTTCCTGCTAAGCATGCTATTATAGCCCTCATTTGGTGGAAATCAGAGTTTTAGTATATTTTGATAAAAGTTGAGGAAATGTGTAGTTTAAAAGTTGTGGGACCAATAAATATGTGGTTAAAGTTAAATGTTGACTTTGACTGAAATCTAGATTTTAATCGGTACCAAACATGAGCATAGTTTTAGAAGTATCTGAATTTAGGGATCATTTTAACTGAGTAATATTCGTGGCTCGTTGTTATAGATGGTGCGTACTTGATTGAAGTTGATCGAGTTTTGAGGCCAGGAGGGTATTGGATTCTCTCCGGTCCGCCAATTCGCTGGAGAAAATATTGGAAAGGGTGGGAAAGATCGAGGAAGGATTTGAATGCGGAACAAATGCAAATCGAGAATGTGACAAATAGCCTTTGCTGGAAAAAGTTGATCGAGAAGGATGATATTGCTATATGGCAAAAACCTGCCAATCATCTGCATTGCAAGAAGTTCAGAAAGATTGTCAAAAATCCTCCATTTTGCCTAACACAGGATCCTGATAAAGCCTGGTTTGTGCTTCTTTATCAATCATATTAGGATCGTACATTTTTTTGCATATGAACATCTGTCCTGATTTTAGGAACATCTTTAGGTACACGAAATTAGAAACATGTCTAACTCCCTTGCCTGAAGTTTCCAACAATGAAGATGTTGCTGGTGGAGAATTGGTAAAATGGCCAAAAAGAGTACATGCTATACCTCCTCGAATCAGTAGGGGTACAATAAGTGAAGTTACACCTGAAACTTTTCTTAAAGATTCAGAACTATGGAAGAGAAGAGTGTCATACTATAAAACCGTAAATAACCAACTTGGTCAAGTGGGACGATATCGCAATATCCTTGACATGAACGCGTTCTTAGGTGGATTTGCTGCCAATTTGATCGAAGACCCCCTTTGGGTTATGAATATAGTTCCAGTTGAGGCTAAGATCAACACACTTGGAGCTATTTATGAACGCGGATTAATTGGCACTTACCAGAGCTGGTATCAATCTCGAGTTTTGTTGCAATTAGATATTTTTTGTGTCTATCCTTTTCGTGACAAAATGTCTTCGTTGCAGGTGTGAAGCAATGTCAACTTACCCCAGAACATATGATCTCATTCATGCCGATTCAGTATTTACTCTCTACAAAGACAGGTAATTTATCTGTCTACATATTTGTAGCTTCTAATTCAAAATGCAAGTCGTAATTAAAGTGGAATGTACTTTTGTGCTACAGATGTGAAATGGAGGATATTATGTTAGAAATGGATCGGATTTTACGACCAGAGGGAAGTTTGATTATCCGAGACGACGTTGAGATGTTAGTGAAATTGAAGAGAATAGCAGATGGACTGAACTGGGATAGTCAGATTGTAAATCACGAAGATGGACCATTCGAGAGGGAAAAGCTATTGTTTGCCGTGAAGTTATATTGGACTGATCCGGCTTCTGCAGATCAAACCTTGTAAATCATGTTTGGTAGATTGAATTGGACAACAGTTGACAAGATCAAGGAAGAAAATAAAATTAAAATCCTGTTACTCTCTCTTCTTTTTCTTCTGGTTTTATATTATAATATATAGTTCTAGTTCTGTGTAATGATAACATTTTGCAAATTAATATTAATCCAACTGTTCATTTCTTTTAGAGATTATTCGTTGGTAAATAAAGACATAGCTTGATGCCAAGACCTTGTTGAAGTTGGAATCGACATAGCAACTCCTATACAATCTTCCAATGACTTTTAGTAACAAATTTATGACAAAGTTAGCACGATCAACTTGAGAGGTACTTATAACTAAGCATGCTCGCATGGTAAGAATAAGGTATCCCGAGCAATTGTGATGATCGGGTTCATTGAAAATGCCTCACTAAATTGAAATATGAATCATTTACTGCTTGTGGGGAAAAGGGCTAGTATAATTTGATTATAAATGCCTATGTTATTCTGCATGTTGTATTAAAAATCTCACTTCAAGTTTGCTAATAAGAACAAGTTGACTACTTTTACGGTTGCAGCAGTCTGAGTTGGATGTGGTGATAATTGGAAATAACATGAAGTTCTGCTCTATCAAGGATAATCTCCTCCCCACAACGGACGGGAGCTTATTGTGCTCACAGCGACGTGACAAAATTGTTAAATTGTTAACAATAATGGTTTGACTTGCTGACGCATTTCCACGTCAGCTGTGGGCACATTTTATCTTGCCTGATGAAATTTTCAAGAAGGGGAGGGCACGAGAGAAGGGGGCGTGGGTGTTGTACTTGACGAGATGACCTCACGGTGGTACTCGACAATTGAGCCAGTGTAGGGTGTATGTGAGGTAGATTGACTTAAAGAGAGAGCAGAGAACGTATGAGAGCAGGGGCGGACGCAGACTTTTTATGTTGGGGGGGCACAATCAAACTTTCAAAAAGTGACGAAAAAATTAAGGTAAGAGATATTTAATTACAATTGTTCTATACGTGTTCTCATATTTTGATAATGTTCCATAATTAAAGTGAGAAATAGAGAAAAATTTAATGTAGTTTCGTGATTCAAATCAACAAAGAAATTGAGTATACAATCTTGGACATCAAGAGCTACACAAACTTTGATAGAATCCAAGTCAGATTTATATGTACATTTCTTAAATTCTGAAACTTATTTAACAGATGCAACAAGTAAATCAACAAGGGACTAGGAAATGGTAAAAGCCAGACTTATTTTCGATGCATCAAATACCCGAGAAACAATCCTTGCTCATTCAAGTTCAATCATATTGCATAACTCTTTCTTCTGATTACATTCAGTCAGACTAGATTCTCTTAGGTTAAAAGGCTCTCGAAATTTCCTTAAAAATGTTACTTCAACTGAGAATTTCACTCGTGAATCTCATGCATTACAAGAACGTAACTAAATTCAACTAAGAATTCTTCCATTCCTATTCATTGATCTAATCCAAGTATACAATCATTTTACACTAATTATTTCGTTTAGTACTAGTTTCAGCACTATAGCTCACGAAAGCCTTGCCTACTAGCTTTTTCCTTGGGTCAGATCTTAGAATTCTTTGTCGCAATTGAATTTGAAATGGCTATAGAGTGGAGACAGACTTTTCACTGTTTTCATTTGGCAGTGCAATTTCCACTCTTTGAGAGTAACTATAAATCATTTAAACAAAGATAAATGAGATTTGAAGTTTTGAACTATTCTTGTTCAGTCATTCAGTATTATCACAACTATTCTCGTATCCATTTAACAATATACAACCTTAATTTTACCATGAAGAAGAGGAGACTCAAAACATTGGTTTGAAATGAATGTTGATTCCTTTTCTTTTCATATTTAAAAAAAAATTCAAAAAAAAATTTTTTTTTGGGGGTGGGGTATCCCCAGGTCCGCCCCTGTATGAGAGTTACCTGGAGATGATATGGAACCAACATCAACATAGTCCGAAGCCACTAGTGGTGGAGATGGTAGTGATGCATGCAAAGTAGCCTGAACAGACGGGTGGCGCTTGCTCTGTGTGATGTGCGACTGGATCGTGCTTTGGCTCTCATCAAATTAAACACGTCTAGAGATATACCACATGGTTGTTTTAAGATCTAAACACATATATGCATTTTAGGTTTGAGAATAGCCAAGGAATAAGCATGGAACGGATTTAAGCTGAAGTTTATGGGTGTTGTAAGGCCTATGAGCAGAAAGCAAAGACAACCAATTTTTTTAATTTGAGATGGTGAGATGGCCAAATAAGGCTTCATAGGGACATTTGTTCCTTAACAAGAGTGTGGGTTGACGATTTATGAGATATGTGACAGTATGGAAGGTATGAGGCCAATAAGAAAGAGGCAAAGAGGCATCATGTAGTAAGGTGAGACTTGTTTCTACCAAGTGACTAACGACGTTTAGATACTCCCTCTTTGCTGTGGTGTATGAGGTGCGGTGGTATAGTGACTAATTCCATAAATTGAAAGATATTGTTTCAAGGTAAGGAATTCACCACCATTATCAAAGTAAAAACTTTTGACCGAGGTTTGAAATCTATTTTCAACAAGGTTTTTGAATTGTGGGAAGATACTACGAACACCGGATTAGGTAACCATAGGATAGAACCATACATATTTGGTAAGGTGATCAACCAAAATCAAGTAGTATCGGGAACCATCAAAACTAACAAAATTAGAGAGGCCCAAACTTCAATGTGAATAAGGTCAAGGGGAGCATGACGTTTAAGATTAGTGGTATGAAATGGTTGTTTATGCGTTTTATTGGTTGAAAATGAAGTACACAGATGAGACAATCATTCTTTTGTTGCTAGAAGTGAAAATGAATTAACTAAATTTTGAATAGTTTTGAGAGATGGATGTCCAAGACGCTGTCCCACCCATCAATCAAGGTCCGCTCATACGCATTTGCAACCATTTTTTTACGAATCCACCAATGAGTTCGGGAGTGTGTACACACCGTTTTCACACACTTCTAAGAAGGATCACCGTCGTGATCTAATCCTTCACAAGGAAATAATAGGAGTGAAATTTAATAAATTTTTTATTTTAAGATGTAAAGTGATAGACAAACATCAATTTTTTGTGAATACTGAGAACATAAAGTGTTTGATCTAAATGAAAAGTATGGATGGGTGTTTGAAATATTAAAGAACAAACATGGGAGATATGCAGACTTGATCTGTCACCAATTACAATCTCATCTGTCCCATCATACTCAGAATGGGTGGACAAATTTGCCAAATGAGTAATTAATATATAACATTCTTGCATTTCACTATTATTGTGAAAAACAATCACACCTTTTATTTTTTGATATTTTCACACTTAATTACACATTTAATTGTACAAAACATCATTTTCCTCCAATTTCGCAATAAAAAGATGTAAAATGACGAATATATACTCCTATTTGAAAAAATAAAAAGAAAAATAAAGAACTAATTGCAACCATAGTCTCAATTTTTTAAAAAATGTCAAACGAGTCCCAAACAAATTATTTTAAAAAATTAGAAACTAAAGAAAAATTATTATTATTATTATTATTATTATTATTCCCCTCCTCCACCACCACCAAAATTCCTCCCCAATGATGGCATACATGTTCCCATGGCAATATACAACACAAGGAAGGGGAGTGTTGTCTGGGAATTGAGAAGGAACATGACTACATCTCAAGGTATGGCCCATTTCATTTCTAAGGTGCAAAATTTAATTTCAAAGACTTGAAAATATAATCAGAATTGCAAAGAGGATATGCAATGTGTTAATTCATATAAAAAGTTTTGGTAGAGGACAATCATACTTACCTCCAGATCTTCTCATTTGTACTTTCTTCCTACAAGAGTGATCCGAGTTATATTCTTGTTACCAAGCAGAGACGGAAAGCTTTAAAGGGGGAATACAAATAACAGCAAAAAAATGCTCAGTGGAGCAAAAAGATGTTGTATAGTTTTAATATTCTGTCTTGGTAGTGGTGGTGGTGAAGAAGAAGAAGAAGAATGTTATGAAACAACCAAAATATCTTTTGTTAGAAGAAATATTAATATATCCGGATCACTGTTAGTGATGTTGGAAATACAAAAATTATGTATTGTTTGAATATCATTTGATATGAAACCAATCACCGGATTGAGATGTTGAAGTTATATAACACAATAATGAAGTATTTAATCATAAGTAAAATAATAAAAAAAGACAATAAAATATGGTATGGGAATTATGAAATTTTATTGCACCAATAATAATGGAAAAATATACAATTGATCCTAAAGTTATAGTAATCTCTTTTTTCACACTATAAAATTGTATAGAAGAGCCTAATATTTATATGGAATATGTAGGAGATGTCTAAATCCTTCTAGTAGAGTTGTTGATGAAGTAAGATATCAAAAAATCGAGTCCAAAACAAATTACAACTCCTAATGGGCTTCCAAAATAGAACATCAACTTAACATAGGACTCTAATAGCATTCCAAATTAAATTCTTCTTGACGTGTACTTCAATTAGAATTCTTCAATTACTTCAACAAGGAATTCGGGTCACACCCAAATTCTAACAATCTCCATTTTGACACGAATTTCACTGCAACGAACAAAACTCCAAAATATTCTCCACTTGGAGAAGAAAATCCGTCTGTAAGGAATGAACCGACTCTTCAACAATAGCAAAAACTGAATTCTCCAATCAAACACAAAATACTCCACATCTTCCAATAAATTCAAGCACTACTCTACAGAATTATCTCAAATTCTCAAAAAATTATAATGATTTTAAAATTCACCAAACCAGGATGTAACACACCCCAAAGCAGAATCAAATCAAAATACTTTTAAAGAATGCCTATTCCTAGATTGTATACCTTCTATTACACTGAAAGCATGCTCAACAAAATGAGCATCCACGTACCTTTTACCACTGGGTCCACCTTAGTAATTGAATACAATGGCACTGCAAGTGATTGTGGGAAAAGGCATT